GCTGACGCGGTGGCGCGCCGCGGTGGGCGGCGCCGTCGTGCGCGACTTCGTCGAGCACGCCGGGAGCGTGATCGCCCTGCGCCCCGAGGACTACTACCACCGCGCCGCCGCCGCCACCGGAGACGATGACGACGACGGCGACGACCCGCGGGAGCGCGTGCTGCTCGGAGGGAGGCTGTACCCGGTGGCGGACGAGACGACGACGATCCACGGCGGCGTGGGCGGCGGCGGGAGGACGACGCTGCGGTGCGTGGAGTTCTGCCCGGAGCCCGGGGTGGCGCCGCTGCGGCTGACGGTGACGACGGCGGCGGCGCCGGCGGAGGAGGAGGAGAAGCAGCGGCAGGAGGTGGCCGAGGTGGTGTCGCCCGACGGCGCGGTGCGTGTGCTGGGGCGCGGCGAACGCTTCGGCGGCGGCGGCGGCGAGAAGGGGACGGTGCAGCACGTGGTGGACGTGGAGGGGGAGCGGGAGGTGTTCGTGCTGCTGGTGTCGGTGCGCCCGGAGCTCGCCCGCATCGTCCGCGTCCAGAGGCTCACCTGATCGTATGCATACTCTACTCTACTACCCCTCCGTTTCACAATGTAAGACTTTCTATTATTGCCTACATATATATAGATGTTAATGAATCTAAACACATATACTCCCTCCATCCCAAAATGTTTGACGCCGTTGACTTTTTTAAAAATGTTTAACCGTTCGTCTTATTCAAAAAAATTTAAGTAATTATTAATTCTTTTCGTATCATTTGATTTATTGTTAAATATACTTTCATGTATACATATAGTTTTACACATTTCATAAAAGTTTTTGAATAAGACGAACGGTCAAACATATTTTAAAAAGTCAACGGTGTCAAACATTTAGGGAAGGAGGGAGTATATGTCTGGATTTATTAACATCTAAATAAATGTGAACAATGCTAAAAAGTCTTATATTGTGAAACGGAGGAAGTACTAGCAAAAATACTCGTGCGTTGCACAATGGGGTTTAACAATGTTAGTACGATGATTCAATTGAGACAAAATCGTCGCTCTCAAGCTCTAATGAATATAATGACAGGATTAAACGTAACTAAGCAGACCATGGCTGTGTTCTTTCCCATGAGTTCCCAGCTCATCTTACTCGTTTTCCACGTGCATGTTTTTCAAACTGATAAATAGTACGTGTTTTTTTCAAAAAAGTTTATATATGGAAGTTGCTTTAAAAAATCATGTTAATCAATTTATCAAGTTTTTTATAGCTGATAATTAATTAATCATGTGTTAATCTGTCGCTCCGTGAAGCAAATAGAGATTCGAGCATAGTATTACAATATTATCTCAATTAGTGTACTATTGGTCAATAAAAATAGGATCCACTGGAAGAGGGTTGAGAGAGGAGAGGTGATTGAAGTCTATATATGGTCTTATACTTGATGGTGGTAATAGATCCACGTCCATCACCACTGACTTCTTTTAATATATATTGTTGAGATATATTAATTTACTATCGATATTTCTAAATCTTTTTCTCAATATAGCCTCAGAATAAATCTGTGATTAATTTACAATTAAACGCGGCATATCTCGATCGTGTAAACATATCAAACGGTTTTCTTTTAATTGTTGGTGATAATAATGATCTAATGGTCCATTGTTTTCTCGATGGTGTCGACCTCTTGTAGTCCACAACAAAGTTCAACCATGTCGATCAACTGTTTCCGATGATCATTTCTCAATGACGAGAATAAAAATATTTTTTTCAAAAAAAAATTGCACCGTGTCTGTTATTTTTTGAAATTTATAGTTTCCAATATGCATGCTTCACCATTATTTTTGTTAATTAACTGTATGTTTATAAGAATTATTTTTTAAAAAAATATAACACATGAAAGTGTTTTTATGATAAATTTATTAATATCATTTTTCATATGATAAAACTTTTTTTTGCTTAATCTATATATTAATGACGATTCCAAGGTTTAATTGCAAACATTCTTGGATCTATTCGAGAACGGAGGTAAAAACTTAATATTATTAAAAGATAGAAAGAAACGTTCTATTTCTATCTTTTAAAAAAAATATTTTAAACTATTTGTTATATTTGTGCCACAAATATCCAGTGAAGGTATTTTAGAAAGGAACCTATTATTTGACAAATATCTTTTAAAATTTAATATTTCTTATATTTTAAAAAAGTATCCAATTAAGGTATGGATTATTTGTGCCACAGTTTCATATATTAGTATGATTTTGTTTTAAAAAAATTGCACGTCAGAATGCTTAATAACTTATTTTAAACTAGTGTTAGCTTTGGGTTGTTCGGTTTATATGGGCTGTGGCTGCAAAGTCGTAGTGCTGCAGCCCTCATAGCATAAATTTGCTTGCAAAGGAGTCCTGTAGCTGCTGCCATATATAGCTATTTCGAACGCACCTTTTGTAATATTTTTTTTAAGAGTTACACAGTACAACGCAGACACTCATAACGCACGCGCACACTCACCCCTATGAACACACGCACGGAAACCTTATCCCTATGAGCATTTTCGAATACTGGGCCGGCAAACCCTACCCCTATGAGCATCTTTTGTAATATTTAATTCTTCTAATATGAATATGTATGTTTTTCTTGCCAAAAATCTATCAATTAATCGTTCAGTTAGAACTAGCAGTACTCCATATATTTTGGGAAACAAATTCAGGAGTTCTCTCCAAACGGAAAGCGAAAAGGTTAGCCTTTGAGAGAGACGTCAGGTAGTACATGCAAAGCATTTTCTTCTGTTCATTCTTACACATCCTTCATCATCTTATTGCTACAATGGGAGACATGGTTCCACGAAGGTATACTCTTCTGTTGAACTGAAAGTTGAAACTGTGGCGAGCTCTTCTGCAAATGCAACTAGAGAAAACATCTTAAATTTGATGGAGAAATTAAAACTCTAATCAGGAAGAGAACTTTAACCAGAGTACTGATCCCTCTGTAAATCGAATAATAAATATATCCTACTACCTCCATTTTTATTTTTTAAAATATGTAAAAATATAATTTATGCTTAAAGTACCATTAATGATAAAACAAGTTGTGATATAAACAAACTAAATTATACTGATGTAATTTTTTAATAAAACAAATGATTAAACATATGTTTAAAAGTTAACATATTCATGTATTTAAAAATGGAGGGAGTATATCTTTCATAAAATATTGGTTTATAAATATTATGAATATATTTCATGAGAAATTATTAATGGTGGGTAAGGTGTGACCTTGAAAAATTTTCCACATAAAACATACCCTATAACGATCTGCAAGACGCTGTACCAAATAACTAAGCACATGCCTGTGGCCACTTGGTAATTTTGTAAGAAGGTTTCAAAATGAATAGAAAAAAATGAAAATGAACACTAGTAACCCACACAAACAACAATACAACAGTAGCCAACAGTTGCAACAATGACCAACACAACACAAGATTGCAGTATCACACATATAAGGATCACCATTAACCTGTGTGCATGCACATTAGGTGTACAGATCACTTGAGAACAGCACTGAATCAATGAGAAGCAGAAGCCTTCCATGACAGACAAGAGCCACTCAGGCTAGCCAAGGAGACTGCCTATCTCGGCTCATCTGAACCAGCCAGGCCACACTGATCATGGCACTGCATCATTCAGAAGAGCACAATAGGCAAGTCATCCTTGGCTACCAGAGGCAGGCTCTAGCCCTCATGCAAGGCCCCTCTTCTTCCTCTTTCTTCCTAGCTTCCTTCCTACCGATGATCGATGATGCGTTACCGCTTACATTTCGCGCTATTTATAATGAAAATATGGCCTGCTCGGGACGAATCGGGCCGCGCCACATAATGCCGGCTCGGTGGCGGATCAGTTTGCGCCCATCCACAGCTTTCCTAGATACCAATTTCTTATCATTGACAATCCATTATTCCAGTAGTACCGGAATATATTCGGTTATACCCGGGGTGGACCAGGTGACAGTTCAGGCTAGCTGAGGTCTCATGCACATTTTCAGTTGAAAGGTGAGGGTAACACATGTACAGTTTGCAATCTCTTCCATTTTCCATTTCTGAGGAAAAACAAGAAATTCCTTCATTTCTGGGGTAGTATAGAGCCACCCCCTCAATATACACCGCGATTCGCGCAATCCGAGGGAGATCTTGGTATTCCATTTGGATAGTGTGGATCATTGGGAAGGAATTCATCTCCTCGAGTCAGTTTTATGCTTTTCTGATCAGATCAGGTCGGTGTCATGCACCACCATTTAAAGTTCTTTGTTCCCTCCAGTTTGAGCTCGACCTGCTCTATCAATCAGCAATGAAATTGCGGCTTGTCGGCTCATAGCTAGTGGCATTCATCTGAATTGCATCAAGATTGACTCGTATAAGATTGATTATCTGATGAGAGAAAGCAATGTAATCTTTGCATCGGCTTGTTGGTTAATGGAAGATCACTCTGCAATGTTCTTGTTAGTTGAGGCAGTTTTATTTTGGCATTCAGGTGCATGAAACACAGTTTGCTTTCTGAAATCATCCGCCGCCTTTTCGAAGAGCATCTTGGCCTACCAAGTTTGCAAAGGGTATTTGACTTTGTACAACTTTCTGCCAATTCTCATCTTTTGCACGTGTCCATCAAAGAATAATCGTGTTTTATTGTTTATGGAGAATCTCAAAACTTTCCATGGAGTGATTCAGCAAAACATAAAAATGTTCTTTAATATTGGCAAATTCATGCACAAAAGTTGTGCCAGACTTTGTATTTGAAATTTTGAAAAACTGAAGTAAGATTGATTTTGTTCATCTAGCATGGAATATCATCATCCAATTTCATTTTTCATAAAATTCTTCTTCCAAGTGTTGCCAAATCAGTCAGTAATACCAGAAATGAATGCTCTTCACCATTTGGGTCCCAGCTTTCATGGCATAGCGCAAAAGAAGAGCACTTTCAATGTTTTCATAATCTTAATTTTTTTGCAAAAATAAACACTAAACTGCAGTAATCTTAAATTAGCATATCTTGCCTTGAACATTATGCACTTCAATATTTGGAGAGCATTTTACACAAATCATATATTAGCACAGCTCAAACTCAATATATACAATTTCGACATCGTTCTTTTGGTCCTGGAAATACATAGGAGAAACACATGTTTTTGTTTCAAACAAAGAAAATGGTAAAGGTAATAATGTATTTACAGCGCCAATATAGTTCACATCAGCAATCCCCCCAAAAAAATCAGAATATTGAGTGAGTGATGGTAAACTAATAGTAGTCAGATTCACTAAATCCATAAGGTTGTCAGAAAAGCCGGCCAAAGAAACAAAAATCTTCCAACCAGTGCGCCTTTATTTCAACTTTTTCCTTCGCAAGAAACATAAATTTACAGAGGGCAATCTAGAATGCACAAATAATTACATACAAAATTGCCTATGATGACTGAAGTTTGGCCATGCAAGTTTTCACAAGGTTTCTGCAATCAAAGTTGAGAAAATAGTTAATATCATATCAGAAATTGTTTTATTGGTATTTTTAACAGTAAAGATGGAATATATCTGCCCATTGGAGGCTTGTCTAATTGAGATTGTAGAGTGCTTGGATTTTTGAAGTAGCAGGAAATACTATGATCTTTGTCGCATACAAATGTTTTGCCTAAAAACTCAGAGATGCTAAAGTTGATACTAATAATGCAATGAAGGCAATGCAGAGGGTATTTAAAAGGATATATGTCAACAATTCGCAGAGTAAAATGTATTTATAAAGTGCAAACTTAATATGATTATGCAGTATGCACCTGATACATGATATAACAGTTCATAATTATTTTGCCTTTCATTGCTTGTTATGTTCTTACTGTAAAAAAGAAACAAAAATGTTTGAAACATTATGAATCACAAAATCATCCACAGTTTCAGCACAAATATTGATTTCCATCAAACTTGGAAAGAAAACAAACTCTTATGGGATTATAGGCAAGTTATCATGATTATGGAGAAATATGTTGAGAAACACTATTAATCAGTAGAAACTTACCCATCATCCTTGTTTTTTCAAGAGCTGTTTCTGCTGTTGATCTGCGGGAAACATCAGCCAAAGATATAGGTGTTAATGGGGGAGAGGAAACTTCACTACTCTCTCTGCTATGCCTAGCTTCCAACAACTTATTCACGGTAAGAATGGGTGTTCTTTGGCTATTTGAAGGTATAGAATAACTGCGGGTCATGGCAGCAGGTGGCCGTGGAAGAGGTGATGCTGTTTGTGATGGTGGTGAGGCGCGGGTCGGTACATTAGGCACCTGCCGCCTTGATACCAGAGGGCCAGAATATCCAACCAAACCAGGACGGGCAGCACCTACATTTGCTGGAGGCCTAGGCAGTTCATGTAGCTCACTTATTCTCGGTGATGTAGTTGGGAGTGAAGTGATCCTAGGGGTAAATTTTGGAGCCACGGATGACTGCCAGCCTGGGCCATATGATTTTGTTGACATTGCACGAGGATAGTTCATTGGTGCTCTGAGATCAGTAGCAGAAAACAAGGGCTTGTTCAATCCTGCTTTGCTTGGAATTGGACCGGAAAATGCTTCCCTCTTCATTTTCTTAAAATCTGAAGTAGCGTAGGGATAAACAAGTGGCGCTGATATCCCTTCAGTACTTGATGGCATCTTAACAGGTCCACTAAACATGGAGTTTGGTTTAAAACCTTTGACCAGTGGAGAGGAATGCCATAAATTTTCTGCTACGTGAGATTTACTTTCTGGTTGATCTGAATGAGGAGATCTATTGGTGTGTGCTGAAGTGGAGTTCTTGTCATCATCTGGTGTCGGGAGTTTGTACGAATAATTTGTTCTGTTTGACGTATTCATTTTCCGAAACCTTGTAGATGGATCAAACACATTGTCAGCAGAAATTGGCGCTGATTGGGTACCAATCTCAAGCTTCACTCGAGGAGCTGCAAAATCTGCCTGTATTTGTTCGGTATATTCCTGTGCATAAACAAATACCATTTCAAAACACTTGAGGACATGCTCATGATGCAGCATTGCAAATAAGAAAATAACAGAGATATGAAATATGGAAGCAAAGATCTTAAACAGATCCTGGTCTAGTAATGAGATAGCAAAAGGTTCAGATCAATGTGCTCCAGGTCTGGTCAATGTGCTTCAAAAGTAACATTATGTCGAAATAATGGGAACGGTGAAATTGTATACAATTATAAACAAGAAGTTCTTGTTTGATAGTCGATAAGCACACCACTAAGATACTATAGTGATAATAACTTGTAGGCTTAGATAGGCAATTACTGGAAGCTTCCATACCCATATTACACCACATGCAGTAACTGCAGGTATGGACATTCTTGTTCCATCCAGTAGCAATAAGCAAGGAATGGATGTACACAGTGGTAATGAACAAGGTATGCATTTATCAAATTTATTGCCATCATCACTTAAGTAATAAGCATGCCCACCATAATACCCTTCTATATTATTTTATCAAGATTTCAACATTAACAGATGTTATGTATCAGGTGAGCAGTGTGCATAAGAACATCAGGTCGGCTGGCACTTGGTCCTGATAGTTTATATGGCAGAGGTAGAAGCTAGTGACAGAATAAGAATGAAAATACTACACAATAATGCTAGAACAATATTGTGTTGTTTGGTTTCTGGTGGTCAAGATGCCATGGTAGGATCTAGCTAGCTGCGCAAGACTCCTTTTTTGTTTATAGATCAGTTGTCTGAAGCAATGAAGCAAGACCACAGTCCAAGGTTAGAAAATCCAGACATCTGAATGTACTGTAGGCCTGCTTTTAACTATGTCAATCACCTCTATGGAATCATCATGCGAAGAGAGGCATCTTATAAGACAAGCAAATATACGACTAAGGGACAGATTTATCCCCCAGAACATTCTAGATGAAACTACATTTCAACCAATGCATATACCCAAAACACTCATATGCAATAGAATACTGAAAACATTAGTAGGGCCGTAGGGGTATTAGAGGAACAAACAGAGAAGTTAGAGATAGGTTGGATATGGAAACAGATCCACTTCCAATTAACAAAAAATATATCCATGCAACACTTGCTCTTTCTATATGCTCACCCTGGATAATGCTTTGCAATATGTATAAGAATAGACTCATTAGCCAGAAAATTATACAATAGCATAACTACGAGCTGAAGATTACCTGCTTGTGTTCCTTCAGAGGTTCTGGGGAACATGCCTGATTAGACTGATCCAACTACAGAAAGAATAAATAGGTTGTTTCAATCAAATTTAGAGGATAAGAAAACGAGGAGATAGAACATGCATATTTACACAGATTAAAACACAAAACTGGAAAATACTGGTGACCAACTGCCATGGATGTTCCAAGTATTGGAATCAGGCCAGACATTGAAGAATTTGGGTCTTGCTGGTGTGAATCATAGCCAATGCAGGTCAAACGGGGTTGCATCTAAAAGCACCTTGGCAAGAGAGGGATGGCCCATATCAGACTTACTGCCTTGCTCTCCCTTGGCTCCTCTGCTTCTATTCTCTAGTTCTACTCTTCCAAAAATTCACATTAATCCTCCCCAATTTACACTAAAATCTGGTGCTACTGTATCTACTATCCAGCGATGGAGGGCTATAACAGTAAGATCTAAAGCATAAATATTTGAAACATAAGTTTAACAGGAAAATATATAAAGTTTGCTGACCATTAACATGAAATCTAAAACAAGCTTCCATAATCATTGCACTATCACTATGTAATTCATCAAGGTCAAAATTGCAGTAAACCCAACCTTATGCTCACAGCAGGCCTGCAAGCGCATGCTAAATAGATTTGACCACACTAAAAGAAAAGGGGATGAGGAATGACCCAGCGCATGAATATTCTTCATGAGGTGCTTAAATTGGGGAATATTACAGATTTTACATGTTAGCACAAACAAGTGAGATTGGATTAATAAGATTTGAGTAAACGAAATATCAATTGCAAAATGAGAGGTCAGTTGGAAAAAGGATGGCTTACATCCATTGAACTTCTGGAAGCGGGGAAGTCCTTATCCCTGTCATTTATCTCATAGTCAAAACTTAACTCACTGTCATCACTTTGATTGCCCTGGTAAGAGCTGTACTCATCATTATCTGTGTCGTCATCTAGTCCATTTAAAGGGTATTCAATGTGCTGTTTCTCAGCAACTGCTTTTACATGAGGTTCCAGAGCCTCTAGATACTTCAACCCTCGCCTGAAAAAACTCAACTAAAAGTCCAAATAATGGTAAGTGCATGCTACTGTGTGTGAGTCAATATTAGTTTTATGTGAAGTAGTGTTAAAGTACCTGAGCAGAATGGTGGCGAGCAGCCTGTGTTAAAATACTACGGAATTGACCTTGCTTCAATGATTTCAATCGGAATATAAACAATGCTGCATCCTCTTGATAGTCAAGAAAATAAGCTTGCAGCTGTTCCGAGGATAATGTTTCGGTTTTGGAATGCCTTGACCGTCCTTTCTCTCTATAGGCTGCTCGCATGGCTTCATATTCCTGTCTGAAGCCCAAAATAATATGGTAGCATTTAGAAGAGACCACAGAAGCAATATACATGTGATTAAATTCAAGTAGATTGTGTACCTTTTATGATCACAGAGTTCCTTCATTTCCTGCGTCAGTAAGAATGCAATGTAAACGACATCATATTATAAAAATCACAAATTAAGCAAAAGGAATGTAACTCATTTTTATTCAGAAAAAAATATGAGTAATATATGGCACCAAATTAACAATAATCCTGCTTGAATATGAGCATCCATAATGTACAATACTTAGGAAGGATCAGGGGAAAACTGAAATAGATCGAACCTCTACAACTTGTAGCTCTTTGAGAAGTGACTCTGATGGGTTTGTGATGGTATTTATGATATTTGTACGCTGAAAACATTAATAAAATATAGTCAGACTTAACAAAGTTTGGAAAAAATTGTGATTCTCTTAAACAGGTGTGAGACTAAATTTCAGTGCAGTTTTACAAGAGTAGCAAAGAAATTTACATAGTTATCAACAAACTTCTGCAGTTCGAATTGGGCCTTTCCTAGCATCATCAGAACTCTGCCTGCAGGTAAAAGTGCAAAACAAAATAAATACAGCAAAGAAGACCAAATACTTCTATAACTAAGGAAAAAATAACACAGGAATTCTTCATTTGATGATCTTAATGAACAGCCTGGCAATTTCGAAGGAAAAACAGAAGTGTGGAAACATGCCAGACCAACTCTATGTCTAGAAATGTACTGTCCTACAAACACCGCTAATAATAATTGCTCCCTTACAAGCTTCCACATCTTATAGCGTATAGACCCAGACAACTCACCACTGTCATCATCATCATAATTCAATGCAGTTTTCTCAAGTAAGCAAGTTCCCATTTCCTCCATAGCTTCTGCAAACTCTGCATGTGTTTGATTACAACTAATTATGAAACTGTTACATGAATAAGCTATTCCGTTATACCAATGGAGGCAATGTTGTTTATTAGAAATGTAACTTCACATATGAAAAGATCATAACCTACCATATACACTGTTCATTGTTGCAGCTGCAGCTGAAAGCAAGCTGTCATAACAATTCCTCATTTCCTCCATTTCCTGCAAAGGAGAAAAAAAAGAATATATAAGTTATAAGCATGCAGCATAAAAAAAAATGCACCTTTACCATGTCAGATTGATACGTTTTGCACTTGTTAGTGAGATAACATTTGGTGAGAACTAACAAAACAAAGAAACAACTCTATTATGTTATGAGTTTGGATATGCTGCATCAATTAGAATACATTGAAAAGAAGACAAACTACAGTACAGCATACTACTGTATTACAATCCACTGTTTGCTAGCAGCATGCACTGGGTAAAAGAAATGGTTACTGTAACCATCAAAAAACAGTGTCCATAAACAAAACCTTCCAACATTTATTTATCTTTGCTATATCATTATATTTTAATATTCTCCGTCACTATCCTCAACAAGACAGAGTCTCAACCAGTGGTTACTAGCCCAAAACTTCACACAACAAAATGGACCACAAGACTTTCTTACAGTCCTAATCCACAATTCCACATGTATATTTTTTAGATAATGTTCCACATATATATAATCCAGACAATGTCTTAAACAGGACTAAAATCACTATCCGAAGTTCAAATAGCTCTGACCATAATAATTTCTTAAATGAAGATTCAAACTCCATCATCATCAATGGGATAGCAGATCCCACTTCGAAAACGGGGTAGCAGATAAGACTGCAGGTGAAGTGGAATATATATGCTGGCATGACTGAGCTCTCCTAAAATAATGATCTTGAATAGACGAACCCCGACGGCCAATGCTAACACAAACAAAGCATATGTTCCTCTCCAATGACTTTGAATTGCTGACTTGAGACCATTTCTAGACAGCAACTTTCACCGATCCCAAGCTTCCTGCCGTGGACTTTGACCACCATCAAGAGCCGACTCACAGAGAACGAACTCTTCTAAATAACCACAGCACCACACAAAAGCAAAAATCAACGTTCACACGCTCCACACATTATAACTTGTGGTAACAATATTCTTTTGGTAATACTAGATGAAATGAAACAATAAGGTTGCATACTTTTTTTTTTGGGTGGGATTTTGTTCCTGATGAGTAAATTTCAGAGAAAATGAACAGGAGGTTTCAGGTTTTGACTCATGTATCCAATCCCAAACAACCACCAAAATAACAACACCTCTCCGATGTATCAAACAAGCGGCAAGAAAAATAAGAAGAAGAAGAAGAAAAAGATAGCGGATTTTCCTTTTCGATCGGGCAAGGCAAGAACCCGGCGATCCGATTTTGGCGCGCAGTCGCATCTCTCCGCGGGTTGGGGATGGAAAAAAGAAAAAGAAAAAGAAACAAACAAACAAGGGAAGGAAGGAGAGAAGCAAAAGCAAAGAACCTGGGCGGCGTCGGCGAGCTCGTCGAGCTTGGCCGGCGGCGGGCGGTGGTCCTTCCTCTCCCTGTGGCTGTGGAGACCGAATCCCCTGAACTTCCGCAATGGCGATTTCATCTCCCCCCCCCCCCCCGCCTCCTCGAATCAAATCAAGAATACCACCTCCGACGACCACCACGACGACGAGGACTCGAAGAGGAGATGGAGATGGAGGAGGAGGAGGAGAAAAGGATTGGCCTTTTTGGTTGTTCTTGGGTCTTTGGATTTCGCGAGACCAAAAAAAAAAAAACAACAAAAAAAAACTCACAAAAATGGAGGAGAGAGAGAATTCGGAGGTCGGGCGTGCGTGCGTGCCTCCCTTTATTATGCCATTTTGGCTGTTCTTCCTCCCTCGCTGCTTTGATCGCCTCGCCCTCGCCTCACTAGTTGCGATTTATATATCTCTCTTTTGGTGAGAATAGAAATTAATATCTGGTTTAGAATAATCTGGTCCATGTTTGACCAAACGAAACAAGTGTGACCATGGGAAAAAGGGGTGAGAAATATTACTCCATTTGTCCCATAATATAAGGCATACACACATTCCAATATTCAACTTTAAAAACATTTGACCAACAATTATTATAATATAAATTATCATAATAAATCTTATAGTATGTGAGAAATTATAAGTCAAACATTAGTTTTGAAGACTGTGTCAAATATTATAGGTTGGAGGGAGTACTACTGTTTCAGTTCCAAGATTTACCCATTTACTACTGCTTTTTTCAAACACAGTACAAACGCATGGACTCATAACATGCACACGCTCACCCTATGAACATGCGCGCACACACATCTTAAATCTATGAGCAACCGCGGAAAACTAGACCGACATCTTGAGATTGATTCCTACTCCTATGAGCAACTCCGGAAAATTAGACCGGCGTCTTAAGATTTGAGATTGATGAAATCACCATTGGTGCCATGAGAAATCTAACCAATTAAACTATGCTCACTTCGTATTCACTACCTCTTTTTTATAATTGTTTAATGATAAATAAACATCAAACATAAAGGATAGCGGGAGTGTTATTTTTTTTTTGGAAAGAATTAGTACTAAACGAGATGAAAATTTTAGAAAGTATGACAAATAGATTGGTAGAGAGGAGTATATTATCGTTTTCTCCATGGTTGGTGTCCTTGAAAAAAAACAACAAAGTAAAAATAATAATTTATGTATAAATTTTTTTATATGTGTTCATATTAATTTAAAATCGAATAATCAAATAGTAGAAAATAAATTAGGATAAAAAGACTTAAAATCAATACTTTTACTATTCCCTTCGTCACATTTTAAGTGCAACCATAAATTTTTGTGCCTAATTTTGATCGTTCGTCTTATTTAATTTTTTTTATAATTAATATTTTTATTGTTATGAAAAACATGAATAGTGTTTTATACATGACTTATGTAAAATTAAATATGACTTATGTAAAATTAAATATGATGAACGGTCAAAGTTGTGTAAAAAAATTGTAAAAAAATTATGGTTACACTTAAAATGGGACGGAGGGAGTAAGTTTTAAAATTTAAATTTAGCAGTGGCTGAGAAGCCAACAAGCAAATGCTGAAGCGTTTCCGTGTTGTTTTCTACCACGCGTGGTAACTAAAACATAGCAGAAACCGTTTTGTGTGAGGAAGCAGATGGGAGAATTTCGTTGCAATTCGACGAACTCCGAGAGCTTTTCAGACAACACATGAGGGATTAATTTACTACTACTACGCATAAAAGTTCACAAGTAATCCAATGACTTGACCACATGAGACTATGAGAGAAAGGTTATAAAATCAAATCCATCATTAATTAAGCTGATTGTCCTGTCTCCGCAGTCCTCAAGTCCACCCCAGGTCCCCAACGACAAACAACTTTCGAGGCCATTAGCAATGAAGCAATTAATGCTAACGCAGATCATGAGATTAATCCTCAATCTACTGAACTAGTCCTCATATTGGCACGTTCTTCCCATGAGGGGAAAAAGGATATTGCACTGCACTACTAGCCCACGAAGCAAGTACATGAATCATGAAATTAATGAACACTACTATATCGTAGAATCATGAAACTAGAACAAAAATTACGGTTTGGTGGTGATCTTTCCATTGAAATACAAGTATATATCATGAGTTGGATATACTCCCTCCGTACTCGTAAAGAAAGTCATTTTGGACAACGACACGGTCCTCAAAACACAACTTTGACTTCTATTTCTATAAAAATATTTATTGATAAGTGATATATGTATAATTTTATGAAAGTATTTTTCAAGACAAATCTATTCATATAATTTTTACATTTTCAAACTTAATAATTTAAGAGTTATTCATGATTTATATTCCTAAGGTTTGACTTAAACATTGTCCTAAACGATTTTATTTATGAGTACAGAGGGAGTATAGAATTTCAATCGTACGGTAAGCAAGTGGCCTATATAGTTCTAATAGTACCAGTATGCCAAAACGGAGTGGCATATCCTAAACATCTGAATTAGCGGTGCCCACGCATTGACGACAGATGATTGGTGGTGGAGTAATGGTTGCAGTTAATTCATCAAGGGTGTCAGGTGTAAGCCTACCTCGGTCTTGCTAGACCGACAACAACAACGCTTTGGATGTTATTTTTTCTCTTGGGAGCGTTGTCGAGGTGTCCATCTCCTTCTCGGGGCTCTCAAGTGAAAATCTTGTCATAAATCTTCTTGAGATCTCGACGGACGGCAGGGCAATCTTTGTCGTCTTTTCTCCCTAGAGACGTCATCCAGGAGACCCCTTTGTTACCGAGACCACTCACAGAGTCATAGATAGTTCCTGCAAAGTCCTTGGGTGTCGATGGATCAGCTAGTTTGTGCGTGGTATATGGATTCTTCTTCTCTCACGCTCTCCCTCTACAATCTCCCACCTCGATGATGTCTAGGAGATTGTGCTCGGCTGTTTAGAGTTAGTGTTAGGGTACAATGGTAGATTTTTGTTGGTTTAGTGGCGATTGGTTCAGTAATAGTTCCTTCCTCGGTTATGTGGTGAGGCGGTATCGGTGCGTAGTGGTGATATTTTTATTTTCCTTTTCCTAACTCCTTTCAGGGTTATAGTATTATTTTCCCCCTACTATATTCTATGAAACTTCGCAGTCAATTAGCTCTCGTGAAAAAAAAACATACTAATAAAATATGAATAAAATCATGTACGTCATCACAGCTTTTCATGGTCACCAGCTAACGTTTATAGGCAATTTTGCTTATTTGTTGGAGCCCAGATAAACCATCCGATCATCTTGGGAGCTGGCTCTCTGTCACGCCTATAAATTTTGCCTAAATTTATAGACTATTTTGTGTATTGAATCTTTTCCAGGAATCAGCCAGGGTATACAAAACGACAAATTAATATACGGATCCAAACGTAAATAAAGTGTAAATACTTACAAAAGAAGCACTTAGTCCTCACACTGAAAAGAAAGCAGCAGCCGCAGAAAAGGCGATCCTAGCGGGGCTTCAGCTCCACTCCACAGGCAAAACTCAATTGGGGTCTGTGCCTTGGTCCTCTAACTTCGTCTTCAGCTCAGAAGCACTACACTTCTAAAAAAGAGGAAATAATAGTAAGACTGAGTACAACCACCATACTCAGTAAGCCACACCAACGATGCATATGTGCAAGGAGAGACAAAGGAAGGTTGTGGCTATTTGCATAAAGGCAGTTGTAAAATATTTATAGTTGCAAACAGTAAAACAGTTAATTAATTAAGGCAAGATTAAATTTCCACTGAACAACGCTACACCACGTTGAACAGGCCCAACCAAACCACCTGAACTACACCAGTTCATTATGTCAGGTTATTAATAAAGTGGGGCTAATCACGATGAATCTGGTCGATCGCCCATAATCGCGGGCATGGCTAATCGAATAGTTGTACTCTGGCAGAGGTGCACAACTGTACCCACAAGACACAATCTACCGGCATGTTACCATGCCTGTGCAGACACGTCACCATGTCGAGTGATTGTGACAAGACCCTTCGCATAACCCTCCCCTAACCATCCACACCACACTGAGGTTTCACCCCCACCACTAAACCGGTAGTGGGCAGTCCCCCCGTGCGTCGCGGTGAATCCGGAAGCTGGACAACCGGACACCCCGGTCGACCCAACTCCATCACGCCCACCCTCACCACCAGTGCCTAGGAAAGGATCGAGCTATACTACAAGTCAAGCAGTTACCTATTCCTGCATGTGGTAAGCATTGTATGTCTTCCAGGGTTTCCCGCGAACCGGTCCTTAATTGCCATGGGTGCGACTAGAAAAACCATGCACCCATAGCCCACCATTGAGTCACATTTTAGTTGGATAATTACGACCAATGAAACATGGCCGGGTGTCTCGAGCACGTAGCTCGTCAAGGTACTAAGTGTCTAATAATGTAATTATCCCATTATGTGAGTTAGTGGTAATTAATCATGGCTAAGCATATATAATTCTAGCTAGGTCATATGAGTAACACGAGCTAGTCAAATTATCACCCAGGTTTAACAAAGGACGGATGTCAAGTAAACATGGCACAAGTGAGTAGATAGGTAATACCATGATCCCCTGTAATTAGCAAGACATGCAATTTTATCTGCGAACGATAAATAGGCTCAATATGCTCAAGGGGAATGTGTGACTTGCCTTGCTTCTTCAAACAATCTTCCGAACTCTTTTCCTTACGAATGCAGGGAAAGCAACGGAAGGAGGCAGGGAGGGAGAGGAGGGGCTCACCGAGTGGTGCCGACGAGGGGCAGCGGCGGAAGGAGCTTGGCAGCGGCGCTCCAGCGATGACCGGCGAATATGGAGGGATGGTCGAGCACCTCCTCGACCTGGCCAAGGGGACTGAGGGATTAGGGAGAGAGGAGGAGGCGTGAGGCATCAAAATATGTAGACCGGAGAAGAGAGGAATCGTGGGGCTCACCGGCGACCGAGAGAAACCGGGCTCCGGCCAGGTTCTGACAGCGAGGGGCGGTGGCCGAGGTGCGGCAGGGCGCGGCGATGCTGTGGGTGGCGGTAGCATGGCCAGGCGAGACCTCTCTCGGTGGCGGGGAGCGGCTGGAGGCGGTGGAAGAGGCGCGTGGCTCGGCTTCGTGGTGGATGTGGTGGCTTAGGGGTGGATCGGAAGGGTAGAGCGGCGGCCGGTGTGCGGTGCGGAGCGGCGGAGCCAATGGTGGTGGTGATGGCGTGGCACGGCAGCCGGAGCTCACCGGTGAGCGGTGGAGGTCGGGAGCGGCGTGGGGAGCACGGGAGAGGACGCGGGAGCTCGGGCAACTTGGAAAAATGAGAGAGGGAGGTGCGGGAAGCGTTTTTATAGGCTCGGGAGACCAGAATCGTGGTCGAGAGGGGCGGCAACCGGTGGTGGAGTGGGGAAACAACGTGGGCGGAGTGGTGGCGGCTCGGCGCCGATTTTTGCGGGGAGGAGTGGGGGAAGTGGCGGAGGACGAGGAGGGGACCGGGCCACGATCTTTGGGTGCGGGCACGTGTGCGGGAGGGCGCCGGATTCGGCGGGACGTGGGAAGGGGGGAGGTGGTTGCCAGCGGGCTAGAGGTAGGGGAAGGACATGAGGGAGAGAGAGGGGGCCGGGAGAGGGATGCCAGATAGACTTTTGCAAGGGGCGGGCCGAGGGAGAGAGGCAAGGAGGCCGCCCTAGATGGAGAGAGGAGGGGAAGGAGGTGCGCGGGCCGTGAGGGGGGAAAGAGACTTGGGCCAAAAGCGGCCCAAGGACAAGGAATGAGAATTTTAATTGATTTTCTTTTTATTTAATTAATTAAATGAACTTTGTGCTATTAAAATTACTTTCTTGAGCTCCGAAAATTCACGGGAAATTGCAGAGAGGACTTTAGGGCACAAAGAATATTACAAAAATATTTTCCGACCAAGATCTTTAAATGAAATTTTTAATTCACTTATTAATCCACTTGATTAATTGCTTTAACTTTTAACATAAATTCTAGAAATGCATTATTAAATGATATTTCATTCCGAACGAAATCGGGGCGTGACACTCTACCAGTGCATAATGGTAAATAACACACACAAAGAAAACCCCAATAATTAAGGAAAGTCATAAAAGTCACTTTGAATAAGATAAATAGTCAAGCATATATTAAAAAAGTCAATGACTACAGCTATAAAAAACGGAGGGAGTAGATACATTTGAAAGATTTTCTAGGAAATTTTCTATCGAATGTTACATAGATAGTCCCATGTAATATTGCAATTTGATTTTTGTGGCGAATTTCTCCGTAGCATTTTAGTGTAGTGGTTAATCCGGGGCTTCCATAACAAAATCCAATGATACCAACAACACGACACAAAGAACTTAAGAAGATAGTACAAATATATGTGTTATGCATATATGCAATTCAATTCTTATATTTTTAAAAAGGAAACACGGTCAAAATAAAAGCGCTCACATGCACGTAACCCTTATGAGCATCTCAAGACACCAAGTCGACATATGTGAGATCACGAAGTATCATATGCGCTTATCGTGAAGGCGCTGCCTATCAAGGAACATCCGAACTATGACTTCGAAACGATGATATGAACGGATAAGGTAACGCAGATGCCAACAAAAAAGGAAAACACGGAAACGAGAGAAGGGCGACTGCTGCTTGGTTCTGCCCCCTCCGCACGGANGAAAAAAACAACAACAACACACAAGAGACACAACAAAAAAAACCACAAAAACAAAAAAACGAAACGGAAAAAAAAAGCAACAAAGAACAAAGAAAAAACCAAAGACCAAAAACAACAGAAAA